TTGCTAGGGACTTGCCCGGCACTTGCTCTCTACCTCTATTTGTTATCTTTCTTCTATCATTGACAGTCCCTCTAGGTTGTGGGCTGCTTGCCTGTGTTCCTGAGAAGCATCTACGGTACCAGTCTATAGAGTGTGTTTTCTTTAGTGAATTACCGGTATGTTTACCGGTAATAAACTTGCACTGTTTTATGTATATGTTTGATTACATACAGCCTTGTGACAGTTTTCCTGCATGTCATAAGCATTTGAATATAAATTAAAATGTTAAAATCAAATCTGATATTGTTTTACCTTTTATTTGGTGTGTGGAAGGTGTGCGGAAGAGGGGGTAGTCTTATACGGCGAGTATATAACAAACTCTGTATTTTGAGTGGAAATGTTAGGGGGTCGTCTTATACGCCGGCAAATACGGTATCTGTTCTTGCCACTTGTATTCAACATTGTACTGGAGTTGCTGGCCAGAGTTCATAAAAATTTAAACCTTTTGTGCTTTAAAGACACTATCAAGAAAGTGAAAAGGCTTGGGCCGCATGGCTCAGTGGTTGAGCGTTGACCTATGAACCAGGAGGTCATGGTTCAATTCCGGGTCAGGGTACATGCCGGGGTTGTGGGCTCGATCCCCAGTGTGGGGTGTGCACGACGCAACTGATTAATGATTCTCTCTCATCACTGATGTTTCTATCTCTCTCCCTTCCTCTCTAAAATCAATAAAAATAAAAAAAGACAAGTCACAAACTGAAAAAGAAAATCATTGCAGTACTTATATCTGATAAAGACCATGTTATCCAAAATATGCAAAGGACTCCTAAGACTCAATAAGAAAACAACTCAATTAAAAAATTGGCAAAAGGCATGGTACCAGCTACCTAGAATCTGTCTCTAATTATAAGTAGCCTTTTTTCATAGGTCTACCCATTGTTGACTCCCAACGAACATTTTAATTAGAATCCAGTTAGCATTAGATAGCAACAAATCCAGAGGCATGCCTAGCAGCAGCTAAAAGAGTGACTATAAAATCTCTATAGGAAAACAATGGACTATTTACTAGAAAGGGTACAGGGCATGTACAACTGGTTTCTATGATGTAACTAGAGGTCCAGTGCATGAAATTCGTGTATGGTAGGGTCCCTAACGGCTGCTAGCTAGGGCCTTCCTTCATTCCGCGCCGCCCCCTGGTGGTCAGCACACATCATAGCGAGTGATCGAACTCCCCGTCAGTCAAACTCCAGCAGGGACACTTTGCATTTTTAGGCTTATATATATACTAGAGGCCCGGTGCACAAAAATTTGTGCACTCGGGAAGAAGGGGGGGGGTCCCTCAGCCTGGCCTGTGCCCTCTCGCAGTCTGGGACCCCTCGGGAGATAACGCCCTGCTGGCTTAGGCCTGCTCCCGGGTGGCTGAGGGCAGGCCCAATCCCTAGGTGCAGCCCCTGGTCGGGCTCAGAGCAGGGCCGATTGGGGAGTTGGAGCGCCACCGTCTGTCATGCACAGAGCAGGGCAGATCGGGAGGTTACGATGCCACCCTCAGTCACGCTCAGGGTAGGGCCAATTGGGGGGTTGGGGCACCGCCCCTTGTCCCCCTCAAGGCAGGGTCG